CGCGGCAGCCGGTGATCTAGCCCCGGAGACCATCTCCGGCGCGGTGCCAAGCAGCGGGGAGGGGAGCACGGAGGGGCAACCTCTTGGGGACTAACTCATGAAGAACAAGGGTGCCAAGCAGAAGCTGAAACGAAAGGGAGCCACCGGCGCCTTTGGCTGCGACCTGACGGAGTATCTGGAAAGCTCAGGACAAGATGGTAACGTGCCTTCGCCTTTTTTTCCCTCCTTCTTTTTGTTTGAGGGAGAGATGGACTCTCCTGGGGTGTGTTCGATTCAATTCACAAGTTAATGTATTCCAGGCCTGCGTGCTCATTTTACTTTTTTTTTTTTTAAGAACAATATGATTCTTAAGGTGCACAGCGCTGCCACCCCATCGCGCAGAGGTAGTGTCAGCCTCACAGAAGCCGTTACTGGGCGGTGCTGCCCCGGCTTCACCGGGTACTTCTGGGGGGTAGGGCTGGGAACTCCAGAGACCTTGATCTCAAACTTTGGATACGGGAGAGGAGGGATGCGGGCTGGGCGTGTGGGGTGGGGATCAGTTACGACCACAGTTATGACCACCTTGGGTGTACCTCCCGGGCTCTCCAATTTCATCGCTCACATCTTTTTTTATTAATGTGCTGGAAGGCAAGGGGGTGCGGTGGATCCTGGCTGGGGGAGTGGTTGCACAAACATTTTCTGAATTTCTGAACTGATGCCAAATACATAGTACCTCCCTCCCTCTCCTTCCCAGCCCCCCAGCCCCTTTACCTCCTCTTGGCTTTCGGATCAGCATTTGGTGTGTCAGACAAGAAGAGTGTTGTAAAAAGGTCAGAGGACCTCGATTTTAAAATAGCTTAGGGCATGTCAAAGAAAAGGAGAGGGTCTCTGTTTTTCAAGGTCAGATTGCAGGGGGAAAAAGTAGAGGGAATCCTGCAGAGTAGAGACAATTTAAACATTTGGCAGGGGAGGGGGGAAGAAAATAATATAAACTACAACACCAGCATTTGAGATTAGAAGTTTTTAATCATAGAAAAGTTGGGGAAATTGAGCATTAAATGACTCCTTTTGTAAGGTTGACTGGCCCAGCGTTTACCCGTGATAAAAAGGCCTTTTCTTCAGAAACTTCAGGGAGAGAGGAAACCGTCCACTCTATGGGCTGTGTGCTTACACATAGATACAACAAAAGGGGCAACTGAAGGGCTGCTTAACTGTGTGGAATTCTGCCTCCAGGAAAATAATCTCAAAGAATGATGTGATTAGCTCATATCAGATGTGCAGATCAAAAACAGTGCAAGGTTTTTGTTTCAATTCCGGTGTTTTAGAGACGGAGCAGCACCTAGTAATTTGCAGTGGTGTGATATTCCAGCGGTATTCTCGAGTTCAGAGCCTGCTATGTCATTAGGACAAATCGCTCAGTATTTTAGAGCTGGGGCACCATAAGTTTCAAAACTGCCTCTTTTGAAAGTGAGGCATAACTGAGTCCATTCGTGTCATCCGTCCCAACAATCTGGAGAGGTACATTTGAAATCCCATGGCTGGGACTGAGGGTTTTTTGAAGGTGTGAGCGCTCAAGTATACATCTTAACCACTGCCCTCAGGAATTCAGAATGAATGTTCCCTCCACCCGATTTCGCAGGGGCCTTCTGGTTACTATCCGGGTACACTACCAATGCTCCTGAGATGCCATCTTCCATGACATGGTGTTATTTGGGGCCCTCCCTGCAAAGCTGGGGGAATTGCATGGGGGTGCTTGGCAGTCCTGCCTCCAGGAGCCCCAGGGTTCTGTGAAGATACCTCAGAAGCCCCCTTAGGCAGTTTTTCTTTCAGTTGCTTTACATTTTGGAGTTCCATGTATGTTTCATTTGGGGGGAAAGGACAGGGTTACTGTTTAAAGAAAAAAAAATGTGAAAACCAATCCCCAGTGTTCCCTGCTCTAGGAAGGAGGGAGGAAGCCCAGGGGGGTAAACTGGCTTACCTAAGGTCACACAGTTAGTCATGAAGAACGCAGAGGGTCCTGGCCTAGCAGGCGCATCTCCTCTCCCTGGCTTCCATGTCTAGGCCAACAGTCTCCTCTAATGGCCCCCCAAACTCCCAAATTGCAAACAGACAGCCCAGCCACAGGATCAGCAAACTTTCAAGACTGACTGACATGCCTGAGTAGAGTTCAGCTTTGAAATGAAAGGAAAGTGACCTACTTAATGATCCACGCACCATTACTGTGCCACCTGGGAATTGGGCACACATAATACATTGCTTATATAAATGTTTTTTTTAAATTGGTATATAAATGAAAGTAATGAGGATTTCTGTTTTCCCACATCTAAAACTAATTAGGTAGTTGTCTCTTATTTTTGTTATAGTGTAGAATCAAAGTCAGTGCCAATGTTTTCTCTAAAACAGTGTATCCTCCTTGTGGGTTTTCTGAAACATGTATTACCTAACAGACAATGAAGTCCACGGCCTGGACTCTGCCTGCAGGGAGGAAAAGCTGACTGACATACCTAAGTAGAGTTCAGCTCTGAACTGACACTGTCCGTGACCTTAGAGGCTTAGACGTTCAGCCCAGAATCCTGAGGGCGACAAGTCACTGTGCTGACTAGGAGCCCGAAGGCTGGGGAGGACCTCCGAAAACTGACATCATGGTTACTTCACCTTTGAGGGCAAGGGTCGAGGATGGACCTGGGTAGTGACAGAGAACAATGGATTTGGGTCTAGGTGTCTAAGCCAGAAGGAAAGAACAGAGATGTAGGGAACCCAAGGGAGCCCCTGTGCTTGCAACGGGGAGGGGAAGCCCCGAATTGGGGTGGAGGACAAATCTGGTGACAGTTAGCTGTGCTCAGGCCATCTGAACGTGGGGAAGCGATACTCCTGAGTCTGAGCGCAGAGGATGAATGTCATCTACTTCCGTAACTTGCTGTGGCTCAGCCCTGCTACCTTCAGTTGCACAAATCTGACAGGGCAGGGTGTGTGGGTGACAAATAGGTGTTCAGCTTACAGAGGAAGTTGCTCAGGGCCAGTTGTCATCCTTAATCGTTAGGAAGCTGATGAAAAACAGGAACCCTTTTCCTTAGAAAAACACACAGGCTCAAATTGTGTCTACGGTTTCTGTGGGCATTCACACAGATGCCAAGTTCAGACCCTGTGGGTCGTCCCTAGCTGTACACAGGGGCCTGGTGTGAAGGACAATGTCCCCCTTTTGCATTTGAACCACTTTTCTCCGCCTGGTGAGAACACCCAAGAATGGCATGAGGTTGCTCCTGGGCAACTTGGCAGGAGCCTCTCTCACTTCCCCTCCAGCACAGTGGCTGCTGCCCCAACCCCCAGCTCTCCCCTGGGAACCAGATAACTTTCTCTTCCTGTCTGGAATAGAGGGAGAAGATCATCCCTTCCTCACCGCTAATGCTGAAAATAGTCCTTTTCTCTTTCTTCGTTTTTGACCACTGAATACGAAGGCCCTTGCTTGCAGCTATGTAATGAAAACCACATCATTTTGTCGCCTGTGGTTGGGAGGCTGTGGGTGAAGTCCTGTGAGGGCCAGAGTACGTTGGTCCGCCTGTCCGCAAGCATTTCCTACCTCTCCCCTCTGCCCCCAGTGTGCTGGGTCCTCTTGCAGTGCTGGGAGATGTCAAGGGACCCCTGAGAGAGCATTGTCAGGCAAGTGCTCTGCCTCCATGCTGGCCCACCCTTGCAAACAATCTGTGTCATTTTACTCAGATCCTGGTACAAAGTGATACTGCTCTGATCCAGGGTTCACCATGATGGTGGCAGAGGAGAATCATGTGGAGAGCCTAAAAAAAAAAGTTAACACCCAGGCCCCCTCTCAGACCAATTAAATTGAAATCTCTTGGTGCCCGGCCATGGGTATGATTTTAAAAGCTAGGTATTCTGAAATTCGGGTAGAGTTAAGGACCACAGCAAGTGCAGGGGTTTACGGCCATTTCCCCCTAGGAAAGTAGCTTAGGCCGTTCAAAGTGCACCCTCTGAATGTTTGGTAAGAGCTGTGAGCCCTTTTATTCCTGAAGATGTTTTTCTAGTTGTTATCAAATTGAAAAAGAGAGAAAAGAAAAAAATATATATATTTGATTTGAGGGATGAAAAAAGGTTCAGAATAAATTCATAAAAGCCCATTATAAGTATAATTTTACATTCGATGAGAGTAAAATAGCCCCATTATTTCAGAGATCAAGGATAAGGCAATGAGTACTTTTAGGTGTAGCTGTTCTATTTTCCAAGGCTAACTAGTTCTCTCACTTTTTTTATTCATTTACTTAACAAATACATAGTAAGGCATTAAGGCACTGTGCTAGGTCCTGTGGGAGAGGAAGAATCGTGTACTCCAGACTCCAATCTACAGCCTAAGGGATGGGAACAAACTTGCAGAAACCAATTAAGCTTTGAAATTGGCTGTCATGACGAAGGAGAAGAATGTGAAAGCTTTTATCCACATTAAATAGACGAGATACCCAAACATAAACAGGAGCAAAGTCTTAGCAAGGAAGGTAAATATTTTTTCTGTTCAAGATAAGATTAAACAAATGCAGAACCAGGGCTGGGTAGTCTCTCTGGCTTCGTTGTTTCCCTCCTAGAATCTTGCCTGGCACATCATTATCACACCTTCCCTAGCTAACTCTTCATCCTTGAGTCTCAGCTGCTTTGGGAAACCTTCCCTGATCCTCCCAAGTCAGGTGTCCCCACTGGGTGCTCCCATTAGAAGTTCCAGAACTTCACCACCTGTGATAGAATCCCCACATTGCCTGTCCCCAGCTGAGTGACCTGGGAGCAAGTTATTTACACCCTCTGGGCCTCAGTGTCCCCATTTCTGAAATAGGGATAGGAGGTCTGATGTGAGGATAAATGAGTTCATATGGGCAAAGCACTTAGCAGAGGGCATGCATGTAATAAGCTACAAATGTAGCTGTTTTTATCCTAACACCCTGGGCTTGCCCTAGCATAACCACTTACCATCCATGACTGACTGAATGAGGGCTCCAAAGAAATGAGTAAACGATGTGGTCGTATGGGTTGGTCAGTCACCAAGAAGAAGCTGATTGACTGCCCCTCTGAGTAGAGAAGCCAGTTCATGCAGGGCTTTCCCAGGACTACTGTGAGGAGGAGACCACCAGTGTATAATAGTGGAAGAGAAATATGTCAACCTGAAACTAAAGATCTGAGAAAGATACCCAGCCACTCCTGGACCCACAGGGAACTGAAAGAG